CCCGTGCTTTTGCCTGTGAAATGCAGGCGCCGATGTTTGTCTTCTTTCTGCGCTGTGTAGCTTGGCCTTGTGTGCCCTCAAGGAGCTGTAGTCACCAAGCTCCGCGTGGCAAACCTCACAAACATGAACTGCCGTGGCATGGGTTGGCTGAAGGCACTGTTCTTGATATTGGCGAAGCAACGCCTGTTCACGCTCTCGAACAACAAAGCACACCCTCACATCCTCCGGGGAGAGAAGTGCTCCAAGTTGGGCCGCGCGAGCGACTGTGGCCTCAAGGCGCTGCCGCACCAACTTCTCCGGAGAATCAATCCCCACCTTTTGCCAGAATGTCGCATCTGATTCGGTGATGACCTCATCTCCACTCTCGCCTCCCATCCTGTACCTGGGGCTGCGTGCTATCGCTCGTGCTTGTTTGGTCAACATGATACGCAGCATCTCGAAGCCCTTAGGGAGAACACCGGAAGCAGTGATGGAGTACATGACCGTTGGGACGATAATAGCCTTCCACAGCCGAAGTCGCTTCTGCAAGGTGGCTGCTTTCTCTGCCATGAGAAATTTTCGAACACGCTGAAAAGCGACTTGCCTGCATGTACTCTATGCTTCATGTTCTTGTGCTCAAAGTCCCAGTACGTAACGCAAGCTCCAAGGTACACATGTTCTTGCTTGAGCGGCAAAACATAATCGAGTCCCAGCTTGAGGCGCCGGCCGTCCTTGGTCTTCTCAATGATTCTTCGTTTGATGTTGGCTGTTTGCACACCTTCTAGGCGTAGAAGACACACTGTTTTTTCTTGAGGCCTGTTCGAGGATTTGAAGTACTCGATGCGCTTGGCCCAAAGCCTGGTGGAGTTGCGGAGCATTAAGGATGTCCCACCTCAAGTGAGTATCATCTGCGAACCCCACCAGATGCTCGTTGCACCAGGTCTGTCCCACCTCCTGTTCGATGAGGTGCAGCAAGTACACTGACACGCACACCCACAGTGACGGTGATAACTTGCATCCTTGTCTTATCCCCCGGCAGGAGGAAAACTCGGCCTCAGCATCATCTTGCACAACATGAGAAGTGGTTGTCTCGACCCGTTGCATGATCAAGCAACGGAGGTCACTGGGAACTTCCATTAACAATAGAGCCGAATTAAGCAAACCTCGATCCACTCTATCGAAAGCCTGTGTAAAATCGACGCACACCTGCAATCCTCCTGCACATCCGCCCCGCTGATGCCCTCGGTGAGTTGCGTAAAGATCTCGGCCCTGGGCTTTAGCCCGGTCACGCGCATCGGCACAGTGCTGGAAGACTATGCTCAAGGCCTGTGGCGGCGATCGGTTGGGCAGGTATCCATAGAGGTGTCTTGCCTCGATCCACGGCTGGAGGTAGGGCATAAGATGCTGTTTGATTATACCGCTCATCGCCTTCCCGGCTGGTTCGAGCAGCGAAATCGGCCTGAGATCACCGGGTTATTGCCAGGTTTATTGGGCTTATTCAAGAACGTGAGCCAGGAAGCCGACCAATCCTCGAACACCTCTGCAGCATCACTATGCCATGTTGCCAGCACCTGGTCTTCCAAGAACGCGGCAATGGGCCCGGCAGCAAGCTGCCACATCACATGCGGCGCACAATGCGCCGGCGCCGCCTTGTTCCCCTTTAAAGATCGAAGAGCGCATTCTAGCTCCTCTCTCGCCACATCATATGGGTGTTTCGGTTGTGAGCTGGGCGGCGCTTTGCCATCCTCTCCCGCGCAGATGTCCTTCCAGAATGTGGCCAGTTCCTTGACCTCCTCGGCCGGGCAAAGCAGCCGGCCTGTGGTTGCCCGAAGTTGCGTGCGCTTCTTTGCTTGCTTGGGCGTCCACTTCTTGATCAAGGTAAAGGTAGCTGAAGACCCGTCCACCTTGTCGCACCGCTCTGCATCAGCAAGTATCTGATCAAAGTGGTTACGACGCAATTGCCGGCTGTGCTTCTGAACGAGCTTGTGCAGTCTGAAAGGTGGCGCCATGCCAGCAGGACTGCTCTGGTTCCCGGCAGGCACCGCCTTCGTTTCATCAGCCGATAATGCACCACATCCTCTTGATCAGTGACGTATGTTCTTCAGCAGCCCAAGACGGTGAGTGCCTGTTGTATGTCAAAGGCCTGCCTGCCCACCTGCAGCAAGCGCTGATTGAACTGCTGCGGGTTGTACTTAATTTCGGCCTTGAGCTGTTTCTGAATCTTGGCTTGGAATTGCTCCGCCAAAGCCAACTGTTCTTTCACCGCCTGAGCTTGCATTTCCAAACCGGCCACTCTCAAGGTACTTTGCTCACTGAAAGAAGAACTTCTCTTGCAGCTACCAGCCATGGTGTAGTCGCAGTTTAGCCTAGTCAGCAAGCATGCTCACAAGGTAGCGCGACTACTCGGCTGCCACATCCCGCGCCAATATCGGTGGAACTTGCAACACATGAAACACAGCTGCCATGACATGCAACTTCTATCTATCCAAGCACGCAGGCAGGACTTCAATCAGACATGAGCTGCGTTTCTTGCCCGCTGCTGCCACTCCGCGCTCTAAGAATCTATTTTTGAAGCATTCTTAAAGCCATGAAAAGCACGCTTGGTGCATGACTTTGTTCAGGCTGCCAATCAAAAAGTCAGAGCTTTCAGCAGCAGTGCCGCTGAATCCACCCGACATCGTCGTATCTCAAGATATTGTCTCTGAGAAATTTCGCAACGTTCGCGGAGATTGAACTCATCGTACATCTTGCGATTCGCCGCTGAGACGACGCGCAGTTCACCAGGGACCCAGCTCCAGCTCTCCGGTCTTCGTGTTCTCCCAAGGTCGAACAGGAGAGTCATGAACGGGAAGATCCGGTTAGTCTCCACAATCTACACAGCTTTGTCGCAGTCAACATCTTCAGGCCTTGCTGGTTGGAGGCACTTCTCTCTCAATTGCTATCAGAACTCAGAACCATCTCATGAGCACTTCCTCGCATCCTCTGAATCAGACAAGTCACAGTGCGTCACAGGCGAAGGCCTCGTCGGATGCAAAGACCACTGCGAGAAATCGCAAGTTCTCTCAAAGCTCGGAGTCTGTAAGGGTAGTTGCAGGGTCCCTTACTATGGTCCCATTAAAGACGGCTCTTGCTCTCACGCCTGCGGCGTGAGGTCCACATCCAGCACTGCGGAGAGGACGGCGAGGCATCCAGCCACCCAGCAACAAGGGACGCATGTCCTCGAAGCAGAGAATATCACAGCAACATGGCAATGGTTTTACTTATATTTTACTTCTATTTTACTTGTTTGACTGCAAGACAACGTGAGCACACTCTGAGCACGGCCCTCCACACAGTGCATTGAGACACACCGCGTCTTGCTTACATCTTCGTCTGGGCGCAGGGCCCCAACAGAGCAAGGCACAGCTGCCATTGTTCAGCTTGACCTTCCACACCCAACCTCGGCAAGTCTAAGTCGAAGTGCTCCCGACTTGCACATCTTTGCACAGTTGCACAGCATGCACATGTTCACCCTGCCATGCGCTGAGTACGCGTCACGATCCAGATTGCCTCAGATTTCGACCGCAGGTACTCATGGACAGGCATAACAGAGACTATGCAACTGACAAAGTGCAGAGCTCAACGCCATTGGGTGGAATCACGCCATGCAGTACCAAGTAAGGGCAAGCGAACCTACGTCACGTAAAATCTCACCGCGCACCTTCGGTACCACCACCGTCTCCAGCAACACCAGACTACCACGCAACTATATATCATAGATTCAGAAATCATAAACAACGCAAAGAAGCTCGAAAACAAACCAGGACAGTGTCACAGACCGTGTTGGAGACATCTCACAAAAACAAGCTCCAATTCCAGCCCGTTTGTGTGATTTCAGGCATGCTACCGCCAATGAGACCAACGCGAGCTTAGAAAAGAGGCTGCAAAGACAACAAAGCAATACAATGCATCCAAGGCATAAAACCAAGCCACACTGCCAAGGCCTGTTGAAACAATGAGCAGGGCGAAACCAACGATGCAAGACCAAGGACGCATGGCCACAGAAGAGGAGCTGGAGCAACAGTTTGCGCATGCGGTGTACGTCCAACTCTACACGCACCTTCAGCGTTTGGACTCTCGTGAAAGGCGGTTTTGGTTGAATGCAGACACGTGGTTCCCGAGCTGCCACAAAGCTACTAATCACAAAGCTGCTTGAACCTCAAGCTGCGCCATGAACAGTACCCCCGGCGTAAGACGCTCTGATACGGCCGTTTTTTGCCCAGCATGCCGCTGGGCCTGGACCGGCTCCGCATTAGGCTTCCCGTGCGTACCGCGTGTTGAGCGTTTGCCGTTGGTACGGACATTGCGAAGCTTTACGGTAGTTGCTTGAGAATCTTCTGCTCTGCTTCGACGACTGCGCTATATTGTTTATACAACGCTTACGGCATCAGACTTTGCTTGTATATACCCCGATTGTTTATGCTGTTGAACTCCTACCACTGTGATGGGGCGTGCCCTCCAGAACGCATCCGTTGCTGAGCGAGACCTTCGACGTTGCGGAACCATGCTGGCTCAGTATCAGATCATATCATATCTAGTGACTGAACATATGTGCATAATTTGTATGAAAACACCATATCCTATCATACCATACCACATCTTATCATATCAGATCATGCATATCATAATCGGCTATGTAACATATAAACACATATTGTCAGTCTAACATGCCACTGCAATTCTCCACGTAAGAGGTCTATGGGTTTGCCAAGGCCAAGGCGATGAGATTTATCACCTTTGGTGAGCTCCCATCCACGCTGATACAATGTCACTGCGCATTGCACCGACTCAAGTTCGAATTCACTGTGCATTGACAAATTTTAAGACAAAGCAGTGTTGGTCATGGATGCAAACGCTTGGCTGCCACAACTGCGTCAAATGATGCGGCACCAAAATGGCACGTGTCCCTTCGAGACTGTAGCCAAAAAGCAACTTCAAAGCTGCGGCACTTGCACTGTCTTTGTCCCAACACCGTGAAACTTTCAGAACGGCACTTCAATCATTGGCTCATCGTCCACCTCTACTGTCGGTGGGGTAGGACGTTCAGGACCTGTAGGACGTGTAGAACCTGTAAGGCCATCTGTCCCAGATTGCCTGGTTTCCACCTCACTCTCGGGCTCCAACTCAAGGCCACTGCCGGTTGGCATGAATAGGCTGTCACCGTTCACATGACGGTCGAGCAGCAACTGCCCCAAAGCTCGGATCTTGATCTCAAAGCGCTGCTGTCCAATTGCTTCAATCACTCGGCGCAGACGGTGTTCCTCATTCGGATCGTAACAGCGAGCTTTTGACGAATCAAAAGCGGTGAGAGCAACCAACGCAGATTCCACAAGCGGAACGACAACGATCTGCTTCAATGCCATCTGCATTGACATAAATGACAGCAGGACACAGAGCTCCCAAGCGCACCAAAGCCGGGCATGATAAGTTTTCCCGCTAAGGCACAGCATCTTCCGACACGACATGACATTCACCGGGAGAACCCGCAAGCCATCAGCGATTTGCTTTTGGTTAATGCAAAACTTGTCAATCCAAAAGGTGGGATATCGACCATTCTTCTCGTAGAAGTCCTCTGCCACAAGCTGAAAAGCTTTCCATTTTCGAGCTGGGCTGTCTGACCAAGAGTGGGAAACGAAAAAGTCAATGATCTCACCACGCCTTACAGACCGCGACAGGGCGAAGTCACTCATGTTGCCCCCACCTGATCCCTTCAAAACTGCTGGGCTCAGGGCTGCCCAATCCACACATCGAAGATTCTTTCGACCCATCTGGAGCAGGGCAGGCCACGGCAAAAACTCATGGCCACGGTTCACCTGGACAACTTGAACTGTGTGCTCATCCAGCTGGTACTCTACAGAGAAGCTCGGTGAATCTTCGGCTGCAGCGACAACGACACCCACCATGAAGCCTGGACGTGGCTCGTGATCAGGGGGTCCTGAGGCCGCTCTTGCCTTTTTTTGGACCTGCTCCGGATGCGCGGCCGCCGCCTCTTGAATCTCTTGGTTGGTTAGCCACCAAAGTTGCCCCAACTCCACCACGTATTGGTCGAGCAGCATGGCCATGAAGGCCCCATCTTGCAGTCGACGACCGCGGGAGTGGTCAAGCCAGACAGCGAGCCGGTGGAAGAGTCGCTGCTGCCCAATCAACATGGCGACAAGCATGGGGCTGAAGATCAGAGCAGCATAGCCGATGGCTGCCATGATAGCAATGTCCTCTGATCGCCCTTCCTCCCACTCTTTGTGCCCCAGGCTTAGATCGATTGCACGGCACGCAAAGTAAGAGGTGATCCAGCTCAGAGTCAAATAGCTAGCAACGTAGAAGCGCATGGTGTTCCTGAGCCTGCGCCGCAGCAGCAAATGGAGGATGACAACGACAGCCGCATGGAAGACCAACCATACGGAGGTCCAAATCCCAGGCTCATCCAACGCAGCTTCATTGACTGCACCTGCAACAACCACATCCATGTACCAGAGCTCAAAGATGGTCACAAACGACAACTCTCCAAGACAGCGACGCACGCTTTGGGGAACGGAGGCGCTGCAGCACCGGCAGCTTGTGCAGCCTTGAAAAAGCCAGGCTAGACCCACGGCAATGGAGATCCAACGTGGGAAAGGAAATTCTAAGGCTCTCATACCTCCTGTGGTCAGAGGCAACAAGGCAAATCTTATGGTTAGACCAGGCCTGGCGGCCACAAAGATGTCGATGTCCAACTCGTCTTGGGGACAAAGTGAGGTGAAAACGACAGTGGCTGACGTCAGAAGCCATGCCAAGGAGCCAATGATACAGATGACACCTTCGGCCACTGGTCCTGGGATCAGGCGCCAAAGGATCTCCGTCAAGAAAGTCAGCAAAACGCCAACTTTTAGACAAGTCATGGCAATCTGCAGCACCGCATAGAAGACGCGAAGCTTCTCGATCGAGCGGCGAAGCGCAAATTCTTCCACCTTCTCTCTTTCAGATCTTGCGGAAGAATCCTCCGAGACAAAAGTCTTGGGAGCCAATGATCTGACCTTCTCCAAGTTCTCTGCGCTGCCAGCACTCCTATCCAGCGAGAGTGGGGAGGTTGCCATGGCAACCGAAAGTTGCCGCAGATGGCGACGACGCTGATGAGCCGCGTGCTGATGTGCATGAACATTCTTTGGGGTTCAGGGAAGCAAACCCAACACAAGTCGGGGTGTATGCAGAGCATCTTGAGCTCCGGCGGAGCCGTGCGAAACAGCATCATGGTAGACTTCCAGCCGTTCAGTTTTGGGAACTCATGGTCTAAAACACACCTTCGTCTCATCGATGAGGGCCAAACGAGAAAACAAACTAAATCCTCACGGTCAGAATGCACTTTGCCACATCGTTTGGATGGTAGACGATGTCTGCACCAAATTCCGGAACAGGAAAAACTAGCGGAAAGCAAAACTACTCGGTGATGCCCCCTCCCCCCTCACCCACAAGCAAAGGCAAAGAGGGTTACAACTCGCAGCCCGCTAAAAACTGAAGCTGACTTTAATGCCATGTTGACATCGTGCTGCTTGGACCGCTCGGACACCTCCAGCAAACAGCTGATCTGATTCAATGCTTGGCCGGCTCAGCTCATGGCTTTTCCACTTTTTGGCGTGTCGGGGTGCCAATGAATTGGCGCCACTGCGGCGCCACCCCGTCATCGCGGATGACGATTCTTGCTTCAGAAGACGGATTCATTTTCAGACTTACCCCGATAAGGCTTACAACGCCTTGCAGAAGCATTCCCGCGCGCATTCTTGCCTTTTGCCGGGACTTGGATGCCCCATTTTAACAACTCTTCTTCGAAGTCCGACAGATTCCTTGTCTCAAACGGATCACAAAGAGGGTCCAGCACCGAAAATGGCCACGACCCCGAACAAAAGCTTGACGGGTACCAGAATGATTAGACAGCCGTCCCGTTGCCCAGATAACATCAATCGACCCGAGCAACCAAGGTCGTATTTCAAAAATGCCGCGCACGAAACTTCATCAACTTCCTTTTTGAAACCACTTTGTACTCGAATAAGCAACATTGTTGCATGTATGCCTCTAGCATGCCCTGCCCGAATCCTGTTCAAATTTTGACTTCGGCAACCAACTCTGACGCGATATGATTTGGGCTGGTGATTTCCGTGATGATTTGCGGTAATACCAGCCGATATCTGCTTGAGGGATTGAATGGCCAGCTGCAAACTGGAATGGAATGCCCACGGAACTTTCACACTTCAATCAATGTGCTGCACTAATCGAGTTCAGCTCACACTTGACAACCGTGAGTTTCAAGTTTCCACAAGTTTCAGCCGATTATGGCGTAGCCTGGTGCAGGCCGTTCATTTGAAGCGAGTAACTACCGTTACAAATTCCTTTTCGTTGGGTTTTTGCACAGTTTGCTTGCTCTTAGTCGAGATGTCTTCTCCGCACTTGGGGGAATATTGCCAAGTCGCGTGGCTGCGAAAGTGGGTAGTAAGCAGCTGTGGAGCTATCTTTTCCGGCACGACTTTTTTCAAACGATCGCCCTTGACAAGCCTTTCGTCGAATATGACTGATGCGTGTCGCTGTCCTTAATGTTGCAGTTCATCTTGCTTGCACTTGTGTTTGCATCCCTTATCTGCAAGACCAAGACCAAGTACACCAAACATGCATCTTCGCCGCAGCTGGCGTTAAGGTAATGTGTAAAAGTTTCTAAACAGCACAAACCCAACTTACACACAGCTTCGCACTTGCACAGCACTTTCTCGGTCACACAAAGCGACGAATGCAGTTGTCCTGCCTTCTTAGTGCTTTCTCAGCTCTCTTGACCTTGAGCCAAGAGTCAAAGGTAAAACTGGAAAAACCCAGTTGACGCCACCTACGCAAGCTCACTTCTCCTACAAAACAAAACCTCAAGGAAAAACATGCTCGACTGTTCAGGGAAGACCTGCACGTCCCGGACATACAGTAAGCACGTCAAACATGCGCCTTGGCCAAAAAGGCATCCCGCAGACGTGTCTATACACAGATTTCCACACCCCCTTTCGGGATGATCTTTTTGTCTCACCTCACTCTCAGATGACGACATCTTCAGATGATCACTCCAATCTCAGAGGTCTGTTCCCTGTCACACATGTCGAACACGGAGTGATGCATGTTGGGTTGGAGGTAACGGCCGCCACATGCTTGCAGTACACACTGTGATATTTGTCCCCGGACGGGAACACACACAGTTCTGTGTTGCCCGGCTCTGGCTTACAGTTCCCACACTGCCACATAGTTCGCCATGATCCCTCCATGCGATGACACATCTGATCATGATGAAAAATGCCCTGAGATTCAGAAGCAAAGATGCGCTTGTCCACTCTATCCTTGCAGCTGGAACTTGCATGCTTCTCCCTTGCACCAGCTGCCTTCGGCCTCGCTCTCAACGACGATGCCTCCTTTTTACCATCTGGCTCACGAGGGTTCATCTGTTGACTTCTCTCAGGCATAGAGTTGTTTTGGGCACCTTGTGGCTTCATCGTGTCATCATCCAGAGGCGGGTTCTGTGTAGCAGCTCTTTGCTGCCCATAGCTCATCCGGAAAAACAATGCCCACGCACAACAGCATGTCATGATCAGCGTACCAACCAAGATGCCGTTGACAAAGCACCCGATGATGATGATCCATACTGGATCCCAAGTCGGACTAGCAAACATCTGTACAAGCTCGCTGCCCATGAAGGTGGTTCCCCAAAGCTCTACTGGCCTCGCAGTCTCCACTCCAGAGCTCATCAACGCAAGAATGGCCACTGAAATCGCCACTCTCATCAAAGGCTGTGCAACCATGACGCCCGAGGGAAAACTAGAAAACTTGCGTTACAAAGAATCGCAAGTGCTGTGCAAACGCACTGTGCAAAACGCACTCTGACTATACTCCTCACATGACTTGATCATGTGTGGCGTAAGATGAAACCAAATCGGATCCCCCTTTCAGTTTGTTGCTTTCAGGGCTTTGACCAACCCTTCTGCCAGCACCTTGCTATACCTCCCTGTTGCTGTGTAGTCAATGTCATGAAACGAGGCATGTGTCTGGCAACTGCAACTTCCAAACATGTCGAAAAGCTTCTGGGCGCACTCGAGATGTGAACACATGAACCTGAGACGTTTTGACACTGGAAGACCGCTTCGACTCAACACGCCGGTGGCGCACAGCCACACATCTACGGGATACACAAGACCTGAGGCTCGAAGGACATTCTGTGTTCCCCATCTCTTCCAAATCATGTTTTGCTTTGGCAATTCGAACGTACGTCCATCTCCAAGCCTCAGATACCTCTCTGCAGATCGCATCAACGCCTCCCACTCAAGATCAGATTTTGTACATCTTTGCACAAAGTTCCGCAGTGGCGATCCTGAAGAGCAAGGCGTGGACACGTGAACGTGGATCCAAAGCCCTCTGTTCTTCCAAGCAGTGATGACCTTGATGGTTTCTGCCAACACTCTTGAGGTCTCGGCATTGGCTGTGATCCCGCAATACGGCACCCCAAGTGATCCACACACCTGACACAGGGCCGAATCCTCACTGCAAAACACCTCCAGCACTGCCACTTCATCAGATTCCTTCATGCTCTCTGGAGAAACTCGCAGCTGTGACAACATGTACAACGCCTCCACATGTCCATCTTGTGTGATGAAGCCTAATCGCGTTCTGTGTTCTTGGAAGAGTCGAGTTCCGAGATTTTTAGTGTAGAGATCAGCAGCATTCTCCTCGCCTCTCAGCCAACGCAACTTGAGCCGACCTCTCAAGAGATGTTCTCTCATCCATGCCAATCGGATCTCCACATGCCGCGAGCGCTTAGGGACGTCTTCTGCATGAATGACATCCAACGCTGCCTGACTGTCCGTCAACAGTTCAGTGTAGATCTTGTCATGCTGTTCTTCACCACCTTCGTCCTCTGCATGGGCACTCATCTGCACATCAATTGAACCTTGAAGTTCACCAAAGGCAGTGAAGACACGATCAAGCAAGTGCAAAAATCCGATTGTCTCCTGTGCAGCATACTGCAACGCATGAAGCTCAGCCTCACAAGATGACAAGCACACCACTCCTTGCACTTTCGCGATCCCTCGCACAAGACCTCCCCCAAAGCAGATGGCTCCACCTGTGATCACTCTTCTGCCGATGAACCTGTATGGAGCATGAGACGCATCTGCAAAGACATGCACACCATTCCGCAGCACATCTTCGGAACATTCCAAGAACTCACCACTCAACTCCGATGACGGCAAGCGCAGTGCAACATGTCTGTCGGTGTAGAGATAACGTAGAAGTGCCCTCAACGCCGCCTCGGTGCTCTGTGTCGGCGCAGCTTGTTGCGTACTGATGAGTCCAATCATCAGTTTCAGATCTTGCCTTGTCTGGGCATACCAGAGAACCTTTCCAAGCACTCTGCGGAATCTGCTGTAGGCCTCCGACGTCAAAACCGGTGCACCTGTTTTCTCCAGTAGACCTGCTAGGTCTGGAACGGCAGTTGTGCCCTTTTGGATGCCAAACGCATCGAAGCATGATTGCAAGTATTCAGGCTTCACACCTACCTCGACTGCACTCTGCCCCGGCCACCGACGAATGCACCGACCAATGAACTCAACCATGCCGCCACCTTGACTGGATGTCTTCACCCTACCTGTCACCTTTACGGTTACTCGCTTCCCGATGGCACTCAAGACCAAGTCTTCAGCCCACTGATCATCAGTGACGATTAGCAAATCGTCCACGTAGCATACGATCATCACTCTGCTTGATCTATCCTTGTGCCACACAACACCCGCAAAGAGACATGGCTCACGTGCATCACTCAACAGACCTAGTGGACGGATCAACGACGAAAGAAGCTTAAGCCATGCCAACGAAGCATCCCGCAGTCCATTCAATGCGCAATACAGGAAGAAGAAGATAGCCTGGCCATCTTCCGAACTGATGCTCAGCGGTAGCTTCAACACAACGGGATTCGACTTGGTGTCCAACGGTGAGTTCATGAAAGCATGCCCAATGTCTGCCGCACAACCTTGCATGTCACGCGTGGCCATGAAGATCAAGGTGAGCATCATGGCATCATGGCTTG